AAAAGCGCAAGTTGACAAATTATTTCAAGTGCACCGTCTCCTTTTGCATTCCTCTTCACGACGGTCCCATTTACCCATTGGTTTTCACCCCTGTGGCCTCAAATGTGCTCTCCAGGATGGAGCAAACCACCTCTCTGTGATTACATGTTTCTATCTTTGTTTACATGTGTTCTTCGTGCATTCCACTTTGTGTGTGTAGCCAATACATGCCGCTGTTTGGCTGCCAATGTCCTTTTTGAGTAACATATTTGCCTTTTCTTCCCCCCCCCTACATGTTTACAATCTGTGCTCTTTCTTCTTTTCACTCTCCGTATCCTGTCGCAAACTTCAGGTTTTTCTTTTGCTGGTTTCTGAATCTTTCCAACAACTGTATGAACGTGTTTATTGCATTTCTGTGAAACCGTATCCCCCCCCCCAATCATATCATATTCCGATCGATANGTTTCTTTTGGTTTATTTCCTTTCGACTCGTGTATTCAAATCGGGGAGGTTTCCCTGACCTTGTGATCTGTCTATTTCTATTTTACGATTTTCTATGACTTGAACCTTTCGAGCATGGTTGAACCGCTATCAGTCTTTCTTATTTGGGTTGTAATGCTCATGATTGTAAGCTAATTGATGTAATTTATGTCAGAGACTGTGTTCTTAAGTGGTTGCTTTACTTCATGGCAACGGAAGAGGGCTAGAATGGCTTCACCTTCGCTAACTTAGAACCAAGTCCGATGTCGGTGCATAAGATTTTCAGATGAATGATAGTGTTGGGAAGCGAGAAAATCCCGGTTTCAGCTGACGTTTAACAGTACAAGTTAGGATAAGCAATTTGATTTGTTCAAAAGTATATTTTGGATCTAAATAAACTACACTGGTGTTTGAATTCTGTTGTTTCTTCTTTGGCTTGAATCGCTAGTCATTTGGCTGTAAATGAGAAACGCTTGCGTTCGACTTTAAGAAGATATAAATGTCACTGATACTCTATGCACAATTTGTGTATAATAAGAGCTATTTTTATATTTTGTTTTTGCTTTCGCTTTAATTTGAAAAGGTAGTTGATGATCAAATGGCTATCGATTTTGAGAAAAAGGTTACATTTCTATATGCTGCCAGACGGCAGCTTGAAATTTTGTGCAGTTTCGGGAAACCAACATGGTACCCTAGAATATTATTTTATATAAGTATTTTCCTGCCTAATTTGCGATTTGCAAACCCAAGTATATGATACACGAACCAACACCATTGATAAGTAAGCTTATGAAAATATCTGGATCACAAGTTTGGTACTATTACTTCCACGGTAGAGTGATGCGTGAAGCCCACAAGATCAAATGCCTTATACCAAAATAGGTTTACCAAAGTACAGTACTGCAAAACAAATTTGGAGATGAATGATACAATGTACGGTGAGCAAACTTCGAATTGTGCGATAGAAACAACGCACCGGAAAACCGTGAAATGAAGTCAATAAAACGGAATCAACGGGACAATCAAATGTTTCGTGTCAAGCAATAAAAACAATGAATCGAGCAATGTTTGTGCACATGCATATGAGGGACCAGTGACCAGTCGTGGCTGATCAGATGTCTCGATTTCGAAGTAAAGAACCACAGCAATATTGTCATTCATGTGCGTGCGTCCGTAAGACGAATCAGACGGTTGTGTGTGTATGTAGAGATAAATCACAGCGTGGAAATGCTAGAGAAGTAATACAGTCAGACAAATCATGTGAGTGGGGGAGTAGTCAAATGGAACGATTGCAGTGGTCTGTCGATTATTGAACAATGAACAGTTGTGAATATTGGGGGCAAATAGGAATGGGTGTGGGTGAGAAGTTCGTAATGAGTCACACAATGTGTTGGGTGCAGGGCTGAATGGAATCAACAAATATGCTATGGTTCATTGGCCGAGCTACTCTTCAACTAACTATTCGCTACACACTAACGCACCAGTCCCGTCTATAATATTTTTTTCAAGTACGCAACCCCATGATCGTTCGAAGAAAAAATATCAGTGACAATTTATGCATTTTGTTTGTATTTATCATTCTACCAACATCACCAGAAATACGCCATGCACTGCACCGCTAGTGAAACGTTTATCATTATTCCCGTGAGAGCGATGGGACCACGGGGTATTCTTCCTTCAGTGTACAAGAAAGCGGGTGTGTGGAGAATACGCATCAACGTGAACAATCGAAAATGAAATAATGCCCAGGCTGGTGAGGGGTTTGTCTTACAATAAAACCAACCCAGTATGGCGAACGGTACTACGTTTTCAATGTCGTTCAGGTGACACCTTGGGAATGATTGTTTATATCAATTAACTTTTCATTACCTTCGAACTTCTTCAACAGCTGGGTGCGCTTGAGTCTTGCAAAAAGCCTATTATAATTATTCCCTTGTTTAGTTGATTCACACACTCACCTGATAGCGAAACCGACGGACTATTGTCATTCCAGTCAAGAAAAGAGTTTTAAACAGTAAAACGCTAGAATAGAACGCAAACGTTCTTTCTAGTTCTGCAAGAGACATTTCAGTTCTATGTTGTCATGTATTTTTGGCATAACATGTGCAGTGTGAGGACAGAAAAAGCTCAGTTTCAAGTCGTTCCTAATAAGAAATTATATATCTGGAGCACAATGGTGCTTACCGCTGCTTTGAAGGGCTTCGTCAGATTCAGTTATTTTCCGGATACGTAGTTATATGACTTGTTGAAATAGAATTTCTTAAATACAACTAAAGTTAAGAGATAAGTGGTTTATGGCTTCTGTCATTTTCGATACCTCAGTGTATATTCAAATTCTTGCGTATTTTGGTAACATGGATATCGCGCTCAAGGTCGGTGGGTCGGTCGGTTACACAGGACTTGCGGCTGTTGCCAATGCGTCCAGTTCCTTGCACTTGTGAGCTCTGATGCGATCCCACTGTGCTTCGACTGCAGGAGAAGTTTGTGATCCTTCTCTTCAGGTTTCTGGATGACGGTTAGCTTGAGGTACAAACGAGATGTGCGAATGTTCAATTGGTAATACAAGTAGGCTCCGGTCAACAAAGGGTCATCGCCTGAAGCGGTTTCTATGCGAGACCTTCAAGCCAGGCACGCTCTACCAGCGGGTAAGTACAAGGTGTAAATGAAGACTTGGAGAACGCAAGAGTTTTACTTCATAAATGATAGAAAGTAAAAGTTATTTATGGAAAAGGAATAGGGTGATAGGAAAACTAACGAGAAATAAGTCTAAACATTCTATAGGGACCTCCAGGTTGGCCTACGGTTTACCTTACACTGATCACTCCAAATCAGGGAATACACTCAGTCAGCAGTCATCCAGTTTGTGTTTGAAGCTTATCACATTCGTTGCTGCAATAACTGCTTCT